GAAACAACTCAAGTGTTCATCAATCTATGAGTGGATTAATAAAATGTGGTATATGTATACCATGGAGTACTATTCAGCTATAAGAAACAACAGTGATATAGCACCTCTTGTATTTTCCTGGATAGAGCAGGAACCCATTCTACTAAGTGAAGTATCCCAAGAATGGAAAAATAAGCACCACATGTACTCACCAGCAAATTGGTATTAACTGATCAACACCTAAGTGGACATATAGGAATAACATTTATCAGGCATCAGGCAGATGGGAGGGTGGAGGAGAGGATGGGTATATACATACATAATGAGTGCAATGCGTACCGTCTGGGGAATGGACACGCTTGAAGCTCTGACTCCGGGTTGGGGGGAAGGGGAGAGAAAGGCAATACACATAACCTAAACATTTGTACCCCCATAATATGCCAAAATAAAACATATCTATCTATCTATCTATCTATCTATCTATCTATCTATCTATCTATCTATCATCTATCTATCTATATAATAAGATTAAGAAGAGCCACCTTACGTAGTTCTTAAAAATTAATTAAAACCACATAAAAGTGCATTGAAAAATTATGGAAACTACAAATGTTAGGTGATATTAGTTTTGAATATTTGAAAATCAGAACTAATAATAAGCTTACTTTTTTAATAACTCAAACAGAGAAGTCATACCATTCTGGATTTGAGATATATTTCTACTATTAACCAACTTGTTACCTTGGTTAAGTTGCTTAAACTCTTTGAGACTAAATTTTCTACTATTAAAAATGTGGGAGATATCACCTGCCTTATAGATTTCTGGTAAGAATTGAAAGAGAGAATACATGCAGAGCCCTCAACAAAATTCTAGTATGTAATAAACACACAGTAAATGTGAGCTATTATTAAAACTGTGGTCTAATTACTAAGACATCCCAACAGGCCACTTTCATCCTGTGAGGCCCTGTCTGAGTAGTATCTGTGCTCCCTCCACAACCTGTGTTTTTCCTCTTTTAAAATACTTTAACAACATTCTTGGTATTGTAATAGTAACACTGTTGTAAATTTTGTAACTAGTATGGACCTATTCATAATTGCTTTTGCTATAATGGTTAGTTGAATTATCATCATCGATTTAAGTATACAATGGAATATTACTCACTTATGAGAAACGACAGTGATCTAGCACATTTTATATTTCCCTGGATTGAGCTTGAGCCCATTATCTGAAGTGAAGTATCACAAGATCGGAAGAGTAGGCTCCACATGTACTCGCCATCAAATTGGCACTAACTGATCAACACTATGGTGCTCACATGATAGTAATATTCTCTAGGGATTAGGAGGTTTGGAGGGGTAAACTCACAAGTAATGGACGCGGTGAGCGTTGTAGAGGAGAAGGGCATGCCTCTAACCCTGGCTTGGGTGAGGCAAAGACATAAAATGTAACCGAAATGTTTGTACCCTCATAATATCCTGAAATTAAAAAAAATAAAAAATAAATAAAATAAAACTCCATTTTTATTGTGTTAGGTCAGTATCATTGAAAAGTCTTATGGTAAAAATAAAATTAAATAATTTCACAATTAGAACTTCAACTCAAGTTATTCATTCAACTTGAGAATATTTTTAATGGTATACTTGAAAGATGGTTTTCTCTGTATCTTCCTGAATATTTCCAGTGTTGTGGTAATTACATTATAAGGTTGCTTATTTCATAAATGTACATTTTCTAATAATTAATTCCTTTCTACATTGAAAATAAATCTATTTATTATATCTACCAATGATTCTTAAGTCTCTGCCTGAAACAGCTCAGTTTAAGTCTACCTACCAGCTCTGTAAGTATTTGAAGACCATATTATATCTCTTTCTCTTCTTTGGATTCAAGACCTAAATCTCTGGAATTCATCATTGCACAGGATTAAAGACATTGGCTTTGAAATTAGAGTCTCAGCTCATTTACTTTCTAGTCGTGTGATTTTTTTTTTTTGAGAATATTATGTGGATATAAATGTTTTAGTTACATGGATTGCTTTTGTACTGCTTGAGTCAAAGTTTAGTTGTGTAATCTTTAAGCTATTTAATCTGTTTTTCAGTGTCTTTGTCAAATAATATCACCTGCTTTATAAAATTTCTCTTGGAGATTAAATGTGATAATGAATTTTAAGATTTATCAGGACACAGCATATGGTAAGTTATTTACAGTGGATTGTTAACTAAATATAAGTTATTTAGTTGATTATTTTTCTTTTGAGATGTTTTATAGCTCCTTTATTTCTAATGATAATTCTCCCAGGAGGGTGTCCAGTATGTGAATATTTTTCTTTAGGAGTAATAGCCTGAGGACATAATGATACCAGAAGCGTAATAAAGAATTACTAACTGGTTAGGTTTCTATCTTGAATATTGATGTTTATTAGAGATAACTATATAGTCACATGGATATATGGGTAATTTAAAAAGTGATGAGACAAATGGTATCAGCAAAGGCTTGAAGTTGTAAAAGGCAACCAGACAAAGGGATAGCATTGCAGGTGATCTAATGTTAAAATTGGAGTCTGTTCTACTATGCAAACAATCTTGAAGGAACATATGTCCCACTTCAGAGCATCTATTTCTGATGACATCATTACTATTGTTTCATGACTGGATGATGAATAAAGTTGAAAAACTAATTGCTCCCTCAGAGCTATCACTGAGTCCCAAGTAGGGCTTAAGGGGATCTGAAAAAAACGTACAAGAAAGGCAATCCAGGGAGGGTGAGTGTGTGTATGTGTGGATTGTACAAACCCTAAGAGACTTGATTCTTTATAAATAGGAGAATTAAAGCTCCTTTGGCTGGAGCATGCGGTACTCTGCTCAGAAACCATAAATGTGATATCATGTTATAATACTTTGAAAATGTGACTATGTTCCCAGGTGACTGTGTAAGTATTCAAACCTCTCCCCATGTCAAACCATTAGCCTCTTCCCCTTCCTTATACATTAGTGGATCCATAGATGGGGATCTTTCTGGTCTTTGGGGACTTCTTCCTGAAATGGACTTAAAAATAAAAAAAAGAATATAAAATCACAGAATATCATGGTATCTGATCATAGGCAAGAACCAGGGATCTCCGAGAGCCTTTGCTGCCAAGGGGAGGAGGTGAAGAGCCCCCAGGAATTTGAGTTGCTCAGCAAGACTATTCAAGTGTGGCTAGAATTAGTAACCAGGGGCAGACTGTCAGGTGCATCTCTCCCCTAGAATGTCACTGTTTTCTCTTTATTATCTTCACGTTTGCCCCATTCTAGGGTGGTAGACATGTGACTCATTCTGGCTTGCTCATTCTCTTTAGAAATGTTGTCTAGTGGCACTTGCCACACCTTATGATTGAAATCCTCTGTTGAATGTGGCTCTACAACTTGAAAACTCCTGGACTGTAGCTGGGATACTATGGTCTAGTGTCAAAGAGATGGAAAAAGCCTGTTACATGTTCTCAGAAACTAAATGAGATGTTAACCATGCATTCTCTAAAGTCAAGACTGGAAATGAAGAGGAGGAAGTAAGACATGAAGACTTTTCCCACCTTAATATAAAGCAAACTTTATGTAAACCCACCTGGAAGGGTGTCATGGTCAGCAGTGGAACAGGCTGCCTAAAAAAGCAGAGGCAGAGGGAGATTTTTCCTAATGATTGAGGGTACCAACAATGGAATGAAACAGGTCTGTCACATAGCTTTATAACCTTGGGCAACTTGCTTAATTTTTTCTAAGCTTCACTTTCTCATCTGTAGATGGGAATTGTAATGATATTATAATAGTTTTTTATTAAAAAATTAAAAAATAACTAAATTTAAAAGTGCTGAGCCAGACCTCAGAAAATATTTGTTAAATGGTATATATACATATATATGTTACATATATACACACATGTATATGCATATATACACATATGTGTGTATATATATAATTATTACATGTACATAATTATTACTAAGTAAGTAATGAGATGAGGAGGTCCCTGTACCTTCCAGGTGCCATACCTTGCTCTTGTATAACCTAACTCATTAGTGCTGTTTTTTGCCTTTCTTTACCTGGGACACTGTATTTCTTACTACATCATAGTAATATTAATCCGATGTTTTCTTCACCACCACTATTTCTTTTGCTTAATATTTCAGAGTCACATTAAGTCCACTTAGAAAAAAATTAAAAGAACCAGAAGAACCAGAGCACCATCATCTGATAGAATTGGGGATCTTAGACCTCTCAAGAAGTCTGGAAGGATGTAATCTGAAGAGGATATGATCTAAGTCTATTCAATAATGTTATTTAATAAAACATTTATCTGCCATAATTACAGAATGCAAACATTAAAGGATGACACATAAAGAACTAAGTTTAAGATACATAAAAACTTTTTCATTAAGATTTATAGTTTTGCCAGACATTTTCACAGATATTTCATAAACTTTACTATGCTACCAGGATATTTTTGTTGCTGATGTTACAATAATTTTCATGGGCAATGAAACTATATCTATTAAAGACTTTTTCTAAATTGTGTAGCTAATAAGAGGCAAAGCCAGGATTCATATTAAGTGTTCTTATTGCTAATACAATTGTTTATTCTCTTGTTTTGCTCAAAGGGTAATGAATAGTGGAAGTTTATTACATAAAGACATGAATGTTTAAAATATGAATGTGGTCAAAGAGAATCAATCCATGATAAAAAAGGTTTCTAATTTGAGAAGGCTCTGAATGCCTGTAAACTTCCAATCTTGCTATAGAATACAAGTATCTGCCTTTATAAAACATTTCTTCCATGAGATGAACAGATTGTGATTCTGAAATAGGAATTTATTACCAATATTTTTATAAAGATCTCACTTTTGCTCTTCAAAAGAAGGTAGGTTGTTGCTTGTTAAAAACATACCCATTGCACTCATCAACAGAAAGCTTGATAATCTGACATTGGTGTTTAGACTTCGGTGTCTTGAGTCCCCAGGGTTTCAAGGCTGAACTTTCTCACAGCTATGAGGAATGTCTCGGGGGTGACTGAATTTATCCTGCTGGGCATCCCACACACAGAGGGTCTGGAGACAATGCTTTTTGTTTTCTTTTTGTCCTTCTACATTTTCACACTTATGGGGAACCTGCTGATCCTACTTGCTATTGTCTCTTCCACTCGGCTTCATACTCCCATGTACTTCTTCCTGTGCAAGCTGTCTGTTTTTGACATATTCTTCCCTTCTGTCAGTTCCCCCAAGATGCTGTTCTACCTCTCAGGGAACAGCCGCACCATCTCCTATGCAGGCTGCGTGTCCCAGCTCTTCTTCTACCATTTCCTGGGCTGTACTGAGTGTTTCCTCTACACGGTGATGGCCTATGACCGCTTTGTGGCCATATGTTACCCTCTGCGCTACACCATCATCATGAGCCACAGAGTGTGCACCATCCTAGCCATGGGGACCTCATTTTTTGGCTGCATTCAGGCCACCTTTCTCACCACTCTCACCTTCCAATTGCCCTACTGTGGCCCCAATGAGGTGGACTATTACTTCTGCGATATCCCAGTGATGCTGAAGCTGGCTTGTGCAGACACCTCAGCCCTGGAGATGGTGGGGTTCATCAGTGTGGGCCTCATGCCCCTCAGCTGCTTCCTTCTCATTCTGACCTCCTATAGTCGCATCGTCTGCTCCATCCTGCAGATCCGCTCTGCCGAGGGCCGACGTCATGCTTTCTCCACCTGCAGTGCCCACCTCACTGCCATCCTGCTTTTCTACATGCCGGTGGTCCTCATATACCTGAGGCCAACCCCAAGCCCCTGGCTAGATGCAACTGTTCAGATCCTGAATAACCTGGTCACCCCCATGTTGAACCCCTTGATCTACAGCCTCAGGAACAAGGAGGTGAAATCATCACTGAGGAAGGTTCTGTATCAACTGGTCTTCCTTCCTGAGCAGTTGTAGAGACAGATAAGTAACTAACACTTCCACCATATTTTGTAGCATAGAAAACACTTTTATTCTCACGAATATTTTTGAGCTTGAGAACACAGGTATTATTATTATCTCCATTTTCCAATGTTGGAACTAAAACTCGAAGAGTTAAAGTAACTTGTCTAAGGACATGTAAGGAGTGAATGGTGGAATGAAGACTCTAGGGCTGGGTTTCTGACTCTGGGACCTGTGTTCTCTTGAGGGCGTGGTACTGCTCAAGGTGGAGGGATTGGACTGTTCCCAGTAGGCAGAATGACCTGGACCTTCTGCTTCTCAATATGTATTTTCTTCATCCTCCTCCATCCCCTCCTCCTCTCCCTATCTCCATCATGACACATCTTTAACTTGGCTGTGTTATTGTATCCTCAAATGGCTGCATTGGATGAACCCTCATCTATTGTTCTCAGAGTTTGTGAAAAAGTGGGAGAAGTGCATCTCCATACCTTCAAATGGCATCCTGTTACTTCTATACCATAGAGATGTACAAAGAGAAAGACTTCTGGCCAAGACCTGAGGCAAGTCCCTTATAGGCAAAGCAGAGGTACCACAGGGCTGCATCACTTCCAAACCCTGCCCACGAGGGTTAGACCTGTGAACAGGCTCTGGCTGTGAAGAGGCAGCATGTGAATCAGAGCAGAATGTAGGTGAGGGAATCCATGGAGTAGTGACTGTGCTGTGATTCTGTGTTAGCAAGTCTGGACTTGGCATTGTCTTGCCCAGTACAACGAGGGGGAAGTACTAGGTCCAAGCTGTCATTGTTGTGTGTTCTTGAATTCTGTTGTTTACAGAAAGAGTTTGACTTTGGTCATCCTTCTTATAATTCTTTATTTTTTGGCTGAAATATGCTAAGAATGAGAAATGTGCTATTTCAATATGGTGAGCTGTTATTTTCATGACTGAATTCATTAAGAATCCTATCATGCTTGGGAAGTGTAGTTGCTGTGAAGTTTGCTCTAACAGTGATGTAAAGAGGAAAAGACATTGGGAAGAGGGGTGATGGAAGAGGAGGGGGCAGAGGCAGATACCAGGACTCTTCTGTTGTCCTCACTTCTCAGAATCAGAGAGCAGCCAAGAAACCTGCCAGAAAAAAAACAGAAACCTTGCCTCAGTTACTGGAGTTAGCCTGCACAGCTCCTGGAAGGGAGACCAACTTTTCCTTATTCACTACTCTTAAGCTCATACAAACCATCTAAATGCTATTTTTTTCTTATTTTTCAGTAAACAAAATCCTAATAGTGAATCTGGAAGTACATCTCAAAGTTCAAATTTGGTGTATCCCAAATACTTCTCAAGCCTCTCTGAGTCTGCTCTGAAGATCTTTTTTTACATCTTGACATCCTGGATGTAGCTGCTCAGACAGTAAAAACAGAACAAGTTGCAAGAAAAAACAATGGAATCTGATTCCTTTTTTTGTTGTTTTCACTCATTCAGATGTCATTTGATGAATAACTCTGTGCTAGGGCTGGGGAATGCAAAGATGAGGAAGACCCCCTTGAATGGAAGTCAGAGTTTGCTGGAGAAATAGACAACTAACTAGGATATCACATGATTAGTACCATGATCAAGATATACAATAAAACAGAAAGTATGGAGTACAATTTTCTGGGCTAAAGGAAGGGGCTTACAGAAAAGAAGGTGAACACTGAGGATGCACTGTTGTTTATTTTTTCCGGATGAAAAATGGCTGAGAAGTGTTTTCTAGGGAGAGGCAACATAGTTCTCAATCTTTTGTTTTGGAGGGGATGGGGGTGAGAGATAATTCTTGGGCAAATATATCTTAACTATTTTCTATTTATAAGGGAATGTCTTTGCAGGAAAAATAAAATTCAATATATCTTCTGTTTTCAGGGTTTTTCTCTAGGTCAGACCTTTGTTCTTGGATTGGAGAAATGCATTGGACAAAAAAGCCTCTGTCCCTATCTCCTTAAACAAATTGGCCCATCTGCTTGTCCCAGAGGTTATGAGTGATGCTAGAAGCTCTCATGTCTCCAGGTAGTGTCCAAGCTTTCTTTACACCTAAGCAGGAGTGTAGAATTCCAGGCCTCACCTAGGGGTGTGAAGGCCCAGGTTGGTTTGATGGTGAGATGAAACTTTTCTATGCTCCATAATTTCAGGGGCAGTGTAAGAAGGACTTGAAAATGGCGTCAACAGGAGAAATTCAAACCAGGTAGTCCATCCAGCAGAATGTTTAATGCACAGGTGTTGATCAAGGCAAAGAATCAAGTTCAAGACCAGGGAGGCCAGAGAAGTACAAGAATGAAGACCCCCAAAGCAATCACAGCAGCAACAAAAATAAATAAATGGGAACTGATCAAATTAAAAAGCTTCCACACAGCCAAGAAAACTATCATTAGGGTGAATAGGCAACCTACAGATGGGAGAAAATATTTTCTTTCTACACATCCAATAAAGAGCTGATAACAAGAATCTATATAGAACTTAAGAAAATCAACAAGAAAAAATAAAACAACCCTATCAAAAAGTGGGCAAAGGACATGAACAGAAACTTTCAAAAGAAGACAGAATAATGGTCAGCAAAAATATAAAAAAGTGCTCAACATCTCTAATCATTAGGGAAATGCAAATCAAAACCACAATGAAATATCACCTAACTCCAGTGAGAATGGCCTTTATCAAAAAGTCCCAAAACAAGAAATGTTGGTGTGGATATGAAGAGATAGAAACACTCTTACATTGCTGATAGGACTGCAAACTAGTACCACCTTTGTGGAAAGTAATTTAGAGATACCTCAAAGACCTAAAGATAGAAATACCATTTGATCCTGCAATCCCACTACTAGGCATCTATCCAAAGGGAAAAAAAGACATTCTATAATAAAGACATCTTCACTCGAATGCTTATGGCAGCACAATTCACAATTGCAAAGATGTGGAAACAACCCAAGTGCCCATCAATACAAGAGTGGATTAATAAAATGTGGTATATGTATACCATGGAATACTACTCAACTATTAAAGCAATGGTGAACTAGCACCCCTTATATTATCCTGAATGGAGCTTGAACCCATTCTTTGAAGTGAGGTATCACAAGAATGGAAAAACAAACACTACATGTACTTGCCACCAAATTGGTACTAACTGATCAACACTAAGGTGCTCACATGGTGATAATATTCACTGGGTGCCAGTCACGTGGGGAAGGGTTGGAGTGGGTAAACTCACAACTAATGGATGCGGAGTGCACCGTATGGGGAAAGAGCACACTTGTAGCCCTGGCTTGGATGAGGCAAAGGCATTACATGTAACCAAAATATTTGTACCCCCATAATATTCTGAAATAAAAACGATAAAATAATGTTGAAGCAGAGGTTCGGAGGATGTTTTCAGTAGAGTGGACTCCAGCAGCAGCCTTTCCTGAGATATTGCCTTCAAGCACACCCTAAGAGGACTATCTAAGACCTGCCCCCAGGTGGATTCTGATTTCTTTAAAGGGTTCACTATTCACCTCCAACATTTCTGCAAGATATCCCTGTGTTCTCCAGTTATCATTCCTTTTTGTTTCTTTCTGAATGTGCTACAAAACTGATGCCTTTTCTGAATTTCACTTATATGTTTTGCTTTACCTACAGCACCTGCACAGAGCACAGCTATGATGAGGGCATCCAAAGTGGAAACCTATGATATGGATAATAAAAGTGCAACTAATGATGATGGTCAGTGACACGACATGGGGAAGACTGTGAAGAGGGGTTTTCAAATGCATGTTCACAGGAGTGGAGGCCTGTTGTGTTTATTTCCTGCTTTCCCCGGAACCCTACCAATTTGTTCTAAATCAAATTGATTGAAATGAATAAATTATCAGCCAGAAATAAAGTTTTCAATCATGCAATTTGCAATTTTTCTGTTTTGGTTAAGAATATTGACTTTATCTTTATGAAAATAATTATTCAAGCTTCGAGAGTAGGATTATTGCATTCATTAATATATGTTGTATTAGTTCATTTAGGGTAAGAAAGGAAATAATACCTATAGTTAATGGAATGCTAAGCTTGTGAAAAACAATCTAGCCTGTTATTTATTTATTTTGTTATCTAAAATGTTATTTTATAATAATTCTTGGATCAGTAATATACTATAATAATGACACCATCAGAAAGCTACTCTTCATTGTCCCATTGGATGTCTTTTGTTAAAAAATATGCTTTTATGAAATATGAAACAATTAGAAAAATAGTCTTAATGAGAAATATGTAAAGTATAAAGAACTATGAGACATTGAACACATGTGTCCCATTACCCAGTTCAAGGAAAAAAGTAATGCTAGTGCCTTGGGAGTTCCCAGTGGGTCCCAGCCTGATTCCATTCCCTTGATTTTCCCTAGAAACCATCATTTTCCTGAATTTTGTGTATACTATTACATTGTTTTTCTTTGAGTTTTACCTCATACTGTGGTGTCACTAAACACCATATCACAAGACTTTGAACTTTTACTAATGTAACGCCGCTGAAATTGGCTTTTTTCACTTAAATATTACTTTTTTGATGTATTTTTCTTTTATTTTTAATTGACTTGTAATAATTATATATGTTTATGGGATACAAAATGATTTATATGTATATAATGTGTAATAATAAAATCAGTATAAGTAGCATAGTCATTACCTTAAAGATTTATTGTTTCTTTGTGTTGAGAACATTCAAAGTCCTCTCTTCTAGCTTTCTGCAAATATACAATAAATTATTGTTAAACCCATTTACCCCATGGTGCTATAGAACACCAGAGTTCATTCTTCCTATCAGTCTGTAATTTTCTGTTAACCAACCTCTTCCCATCTTTCCCTCTCTCCTACTCTTCCCATCCTATAATAATCACAATAATACTCTCTGCTTTTATTAGCTCATGTTTTTTTAGCTCCCACATGTGAGTGCAAACACATGGTATTTATCTTTCTGTGCCTGACTTTTTGCCCAACTAAGCTATTTACATATTGCCAAAGTGTAGTATTCCAGTGTATGAATATATAAACATTTCCT